TCAAATTTATTTTTAAAATATATTCAGTTGCTGTATAAAACAAACTAATTACATTCCATTTTCTACTAAATTAATGTTGCCCTAGTCTCAGTGTTATGTTGAGAATTAATGATGTCGCCTCTAGTTTTTAAAATTAAACAATTTTTTAGAGGCTTTTAACAAAGTCATAGGCAACTATACAAAGGCCTTTGATTTTCAAAATTAAGATAATTTTGATTAATAAGAAGTTAATGACGTTATTTCTTTAATTTACTTTCACATATATTTTTTTTCTAGTAATTGTTATAACTCACAATACAATATATAGGCGTAAAATTATTTGCATTCCCGGGTAAAAAACCTTTGGATTAATATTTGACTTAATTTAATTGCCCAATGTCAATTTGCCGTAGTGGCGTGACGTCAGTCAGAACTGTCAGTATTATTCACTGTTCCTCTAACATAGCGCCAGAGTGCAATTATTACTTTTGTACTTTTTCCGCACTGCTTGGGAGGGTGTATCTGCACATGCCTTATTGAATTCAATTTAACCAAAAAAATACTAGTCGTCTGCTTTAGGATATGTTGTTTACAGCCGAGAGGTATTAACAGAGCAATGCGTGGGATGCGTCTTAGTCAAGTAGAAACAACTTTCTTCCATTTGGTGGTCACGTCTATATTGCTTGTGCATTCTACTTGTCATTTGTCTCAAGGTGGCATGAGTTTACGCTCTATATAAAAGTTTTTTTCCTTATTTTGGTCAATTACGCTACACACTGATTTGGCATTGTATTTCAGTAATATCGGGGTCATCTGTTGAAATTCGACAAATCTGCGTCAAGATATTTTGCAACGAAGAAATCCCATAAATCAATTATAAAGGACTAAAGGGTCCCTATTTCAAACATGAGCTATTACTTAACATGTCATTAAAAATGCTTTATAAGTTTGTCAATGATGAGTGTGCAGTTTTGCATTACTGGGAGGGACTTCTAAGCATCATAGATTTCCATTTTAAATTAAAAAGAAAATTTAAATCCCCATTCAAACCTTCATACATCTGTTGTAAATGGATCATTTTATCCCATAAAATTTTCATTTGCACCCGAGTTCATAAATTGCTTAACACTATCAATAAGAAAGTTAATTTTTATCAAATTTGCTTTCATGAGAATATCCTCAGCCTCTAAAGATTCGAATATTAGTAACGACGTCTAAAGCCGAGGGAATAAATTTGTTTAAAATGGCACACAACCGAGAAATTTTCAACCTAATATAGGCCAGGTTAATTAAAACATCCCATAAATTCCTTCACTACAAATATTCAGAATTGATAATTCATAAATCGTAATACTTTTTGCAATGGTATATTCCAATTCTGGGTTTCAAAACATTGATTCTAACGAAAGCCTGAAATTTGCTCAAATACTATTATTATTCTGTGCCACATTATTTCCATTTCTATAAAATTGCTGCTTTCAATTTTTACAATATAAGAAATGAAAAAAAGTTTTATTGATGCACTTTTTAAGGTGAAGAATAGAGTATTAAAAGGTTACCAGGGATAAATGATAACGTTTACCCCAAATTGTATTTTTTGAAAAGGTCAAATAGATCACTTTTTATGTTTTATTCAAAAATGCTAAGTTTTCAAGTATATATTATCGCATTTTAAATAATGTTTTTATTTATAAAAACTCTCTCAGTCTGCCAGTTTTAAGAACATAATTTGAGCAATTACGAAATTTATCTGAATTATCTATTGGACTCACTAAGCGTAGCATTTACTGCTACCTATTAGAGAATTCATGTAATTGTACTATTTATTTAATTATTGTTCGACCTGAATTGAAGGAGGAATATATAAAAAGCGTTTTTTAAAAAATACTCAACTTATTCCCAACAAATAATGAAGTTCCCTTCTAGCTATATCTTACATAAAATTAACAGAAACTATGATTAACAAATATTTTAGTCAATTCTTTCTTTTTTATCATTGAAAAGGAAAAATACTGCTTATAGTTGGGAGATGAAAGATAATGATGTGCTCCACATTGGAATATTTATATATGTTCAATGAAAATTGATAAGTCTGAATTAAAATCCAGAAATAAAAGGCACGTCTGTTGAGACAAATAAAGGTTTTTTAATTTGTGTTCATGAAAATTGAAGAAAAATATATTTTATAAGCAAATCTGTTAACATGTTCTCCATTAAAAGTCTCATAAGCTGATAATGTAAGGTGAGAAGACATCTGCCAAAACTCACGATAGCCAATATGTCAAATAGGTTTTGGTGGGTTAAAATTATGAGATTTTTTAAAGACTTAATCAATTTCGTGAATGCTTTCAATCTTGAATGTAACAAAACAATCAGGATTCTATATGAATTAACCTGTAGAACAGTTAATAAACGGTCTTTCTCTTAGTAAAAAGCATGTTAAAAGCTGCATTTTCCATGCTTTTCCTCTCAGTACTGGTTTTGAACCCTGATTCTTTCCCAATCACGAAATATGTTTTAACATGTCCGCTGGTTTTTGTGTGGTCATCTAAAACTACATAATAAAAGAGCCAATTACAGAATTCTTGGAATAATACATGCCATGAATTGCAACTCATGTTAGGGACCAGCAAATTAGTGTCGAAAATTTAACATCATGATTGGCTGTGCCGTGAATAAGCAAAATCTATGCTGAAAAAATTATGACAATCGTAAATGTTGTAAAAATGTGCCCCAAAATATTTCCACTTTCTTTAAAGTACCAAATGCCAATTTTATCTTTGCAACCTGAGGCAAACAATGAGAAAAAAAGGTATATGTGTCGAAAGAAACCTTAATTTCAAGAAAAAATGAGCCTTTGAAATTGTGGCCAACGGTTTTAATAACTAACTCGAAGGAAGACATGAAACGGATTACAAATCTGCAGAAGAATACATGCAAAAACGCACATTACATAAACGAGGTGGAAGAAGTGGAGAAAAAGAAACTAACATTCAGAACTAATTAGCACAGTATGATATCAAAGAAACAGAGATTGGAAATTGTTCTTTGAAATCAATATTTTAATGCAGTGCTGCCTTCCAGGTAAACAAGACGACATATCATCATTAGGAGAAAATACTATTTCTGCAAAACATTGAAAAAAAGTCTAAATTGTACTGGAAAAATTTAGGAAAGTTTCTCCACCAAATTTTGATAGGGAATCTACAATGGTAAGAAGCCACTGATTGAAATGAAATGAAACTCAAAGAAGGAGAGAAGTTCTAGCGGAGGAAATTCAATACAACCCAAAGAAAGAGTTCTGCAAGAAATGATTTTTTTACAAATGATGGTGGGTGAGGAAATATATATTTTTGTTTATCTATTTTATTTTTTCTTCCTGTCATTTATGAAATAATGATTAATTCCTCTAAAATTCATTCGAACTATTTTAATTCGCCAAATTATTTGAGTTGAACCTAACGTATTCACGTCACATCTATAAGAAACTGTTCTTAATCCTCGACTAGATGAAGTTCCGGGTTCGCTTCAGTAAAAAATGTGCATTTTATTTCGTATGGAATTTACGATTTGTTTTCAGTGACTTTGCATAATTTATACTTTGAGACCTTCCTATCACTACAGTTGGCAATAGCAGTGATGGTTCAGGTTAAGTATATAATACATTTTTATTACAAAATATAATTTTTGAAAGCAATGAAATGAATTTGATTTGGAATTAGACGAAATGCATCCCGATAATTTGGCATGCTAACAAATGACGATTTTCCTTCCTTCGAGGAAGCGTCTGATTGGCCCGCCACTTGCCAATCAGAATTCAGGGGAAGTCGAATGAAAGAAACTCATTCAAATTATGACTAGCGATATATTGGGCCATAGGACCGAAGAATACAATTAGGAAAACCTTAATCTTTAACTGGGAATGCCATAGTGGCTGCGTGCTATAAACCTCAGACAGTGGATTAATTAATTCTCCTCAACTAAATAATATATTCAATGCAAATATAAACGGCATACATGCGTCTGCCTGCATTTCTGCCGATTCCTACTCAAGGAATTCTCTATTCTTTGCTACATTCTCGTAGGTCACAGTTTGAATATTTCCTCCAATATTTTGCTTATTGCAAATTCCTTCTTTAAAATTGATATAAATATTTATATTAACTCCAAAATATACGTTTTTCTTGAATTAATTTTTGATTTTTAATTTTTAATTTTTTGCCTTTGAAAATATTAAAGATTAAAGTAAATATTATTAATATTTGTTATGTTTTTGGCTGATGCTTAGCTATAAATGTTTTATTCGTTATTTAATTCTTGTTATCGCTTTCTCGTCTGGGTCTTACTTCTTTAGAAATATCTTTTAATATAATGACAATCTTTTATTAATAAGATCAACATTCAATCTTCCTTCTGCATGGTGAGCTTTACTCTGTGAGAACTGTGCTTTTGAGATCTAATGTTGTAACGCAAATAAGTCAAACGGAAGGTCCACGTTGGGCAGTTCAAACGAATTTTTAAATACAAAAATCGTGAGGAAAATTTGAATTTTTCGCACGTATTAACATGGGCATTTCTTCCTTAATGAAATTAAACTGAAACATCTATAGCAAACACTACACTTGCATAGAACTGTAATTAATTTATAATTTATATTTAGTTTTCGAGGCTTTTGACTAGATTCTCTCACACATTCCCCAGCTTCTATAAAATTTTAGAATGAAAGGCATTGAACTTTACCAATTAGTGCGTATTTTCAACTTGAAACTGAAAGGAAAAGGTCTTAATAATTTTTATAGTCACGTTTGGATCCAGATTTAAGTAATATTTAAATTCACCTACCGAAAGGACTATTTCAAAGGCTTTTTTTGCCCAGTTGTGGATCAAAGCAAATAGGGTAATAATAGTAAGGTGTGTTATTACTGATTAATTTTGTCCTTTCAGACTTTGTTCTATTTCTGCTCATTTTCAACATTGGGCGTGTGATGTGTGCCAGTTTCTGTTTTAATTTCAACGAAGAGATGAGGGTCTGTGCGCGGAAGCATAACGTGCCAATTCCAAATGATCAACAATATGGTTATGCTTTCGGCTTCGGATCTCTTAATGAAACCGAGGAAATGTGTCGGTAAATTTCACATGCATATTATTCAGTTCTTTTTCCGAGATTCTATTTGACACACTAATATGTCATTTCTTCACACTCATTTAGGAAAATATGCTTGTTTATATAACCATTCAATCCATCATACATTATTTAAATAATCCAATTAAAATATCATCGACAGTATGTTTTATCATAGAATTATAGCTGACATTTAGTTTGACATATAAATTTGGAAATTTAATTAAACTCCTTTAAAATGTTTTATTTTAGATTGCAGACAAGCATATTGTCTATTTAAATCGCTTCTATTTGCCTATCTCCTTTATGTTTATTTGCTTCAAGAGCATTTTACTACTAATGACTGATTAAAGTTGATACAACTTCCACAGTGCTGGCTATACTTATATTTATAATCAAATAAACATATTTATATTCTAACTAGAGGAATTTCGGTTTCTGATGAAAATATTGGAACATATTTAATGGGAAGGTGGATATGAAAATTTCTAAAATTGAATTTATTACTTCCACTTTGATTGGAGATTAAATATAGAGTTCAATCATCATTTTTAACGAGTATTTAATCTGGTAGAACCTTGGAAAAAATAGTCTCCCTTTACAAACATGCCGGTTCCTCCCTGGGTTTACATTGTATGAAACATTTGAAATGGTAGGTTAAAGATGTACTTTTTTCCAAGAGTTAACATTTGAACGAAACACTCTTCACGATTATAATAATTATTATTATTATCTTAGCTAATGAAATAACTCCATGACAAAGCGATAAGTGGCACTATTTTATGTTTAAGCAGAGAAGTAATTAATCCACAGGATGAAATCGTGTTAGCTTTCTAGGCTATAAATGCAAATAACGATTATCGGTAAAAAGAGAGACTAATGGTGATGTCTTTCCTCATTCCCTATGCTTTACGCACAGAACGCGGGGCCATATTACCGTATTCCAGTGCATGCAGAGGGTTTTAGAGCAGAAATGTCGACACACCGCGGAGGAGAGCTACCTCAAGACAATTTGGTCTTTTACAATTGACACTCGACGTTTTGAACAGGCTGCAACCTACTTATGCAAAGTGCATAATCTCCAAAGTGAGTTTTCCAATTGAAGTAAAATGAACTTGCATAATCATCGGCTACGTTTTAGAGGTACAAAATAATGAAAGCGTCAAAGTCATGTAATTATTGACAGTACAGACGAGACTTCATACGAGAGTTAATTTATTTTAATTATATGGCGTAGCAATTTGACAAGCGCATAGGCAAAAAAATCTTACTAGGAAATATAGTTAAATAAATTTGCCAAGCGCCGTATTATAAGTGCAATCGAAATTGTCGATATGTCATCTGTTCATTTTGTAACATTGAAAAGCTACCAAAGACCATTTCACATGCATCAGGACCTGATTTTTTGGATATATTTATATTTTTGTGATTCTATCATCCATCAGAGGCCTTTAATTGAGTAACTAACTATATTTCTTACGCTGATTTGTATCTACTTAAATCTCAATTGTTGTAAGAATTTTAATCACAATGAGAATTGTAGGACTTTCAGTCAGCTTGCTTACTTTCTAATTTACTTTAAATAATATATGTATAAGTTTTATTGGAAGGCCATTTCAGTATGCCATATGGCTAACTTTCGAAATTTCTTTAACCTTTGTTGTATAGAAATTCTAATACTGGAATAATCCTATCTTAATTTTCTTCACTCTAAAATATTGCATTAAACTTGCCAGTTGTCTAAGTGGTAGTTATTTCATATGAAAATATCAATAAATATGGACTTCTTGTGACCACTTAATATGCCTAAAAAAAGCTTCCCCTTGCCTCATATGCATTTAATTAATGGAAAATTTTTGCATTAGTCAAGATAAGTAGCAGGAGTGCTTTGCGTTACGTAACAATTTTTTTCTCTGTCCAACTTTCGTTCACGCTCTCTCTCTAATGGCACTTTGTGCATATTTTGAATTTTGCCAATTGCTGTTAGTGCATCCACAAACTGACATTAGGCATACACTCGCAAGCCCCTGAAAAATGAAAGTTCTGGCGAAAAATTTAATTAGAGTAATGGAGAACAGGGGTGATTTTAATGTCAATTTTCATTATAGAATTCACGGTATTATGATAAATGAAATGGAAGAGCATACTTTGTTAAAGGTCAAAATTTGCACCTCGCAAATGGAATCGCTATTATATTTTTAGGCCAATTGTGCTATTTTAATAGACTCGTTTGAAAATATTGAAGTTTAATGAAGAGAACAAATTGCGTAGTATTTTAAAAATAGAGAAAAGATAATTAAAAATTAATGTTTTCTCTAATGAAATCAGTTAGCAATATACATATATATGTATATTATCTTATTAAGTAAACAATAATGAAAATTTTCAAGTTATATTTGCATTAGGGAAGCGTTGGAAAGCAGATTTAATAATTCATGGTGATTAAATTCCGTTATTTAACAATTGAAATTGCATATTTACACCCAAGTTTAATTGTTACCTAACCCCGGGCACTAATTTCGAAATGTTATATGCAGAAGGATTGATAAAAGAACGGCTTCCAATGTGAATTACACGTCAATACCAGCATATATAGTAGATATCACGTGAATTGACTTTGTTTACTCTGCCTCGTAATGGTAAAATGAACATAAGAGAAACGGTCGAGTAGCCTAAACAGGAAATCATTTGAGAAAAACATTAGAGTCTCTACTTAAGAGTATGATTAGCAGTGCAGTAAAAAATTGAAAAAAAGACTATAAAATGCTCCACAGTGAGTTGTCAACTGAAGGAATATTCAACGGGCACTCAAACTGAAAAAACAAGAGAAGCAGCTATTTTAATATCTCCAATCAATTTCTTTCAACAATGATTATTCCGATTTGCAAAAGAGATCAGAAAAGCTTTCTACTAAGAACATTTTCAGACTCTATCCTTAGTGCTTTATGTTCTTTTAATATTTTTATTAAAGTAAAAAACTGGTGCATCTTTATCACTAAAATATTGTATCCACACATTGAGTGAGCGGACATTTTTTGGTCTTTTCACTATTTTCTCATCACTAGGTACGAATAGTTTTAATTATTAAATATTATAAAGATATATAGTTGAGTATTCATTCGTTCTTTTCAGTTTCAATAAATTAATATACTTTGCCTTCATTTTGATGCGAGCAATTCATTAAACCACTAAAAATATTGGAGTAGTAGCGAAGTTGTAAATTTTTTAATTCCACATTATATTGTGATTTATAGCCTAATTTGCAAAGTTTTAAATCCAATTGTTATTGAAAAGTACTGCTAGCCTAATGCGATTTCTCCTGATAGTTCGTCAAATCTTTGGATATTGTAAGTCGTACGTTTTTTATATAGTAAATTCTCTGCTACTGAACAAAAGCAATTTTAATTGAATCCGTTTTCCACCATTTTGTTTAGAGTTTATTTTGTGATATATTTGAAATGGTGTGGAATGTTGCTAAATGTACGAGAAGTGCAGAACATCAGAAAAATACACGTCTATTCAGTAGTGAAATAGTTTTGATCATACAAATAATTCACATTTAATGAATAAGTATGTAGGTAAGGTAGATATGAGTGGCCGTCTATTGATGTTATTATACACGAAGATATGCAATCAAATCAAGTTAGTGGGATGCGTGTAAGTATTGCATCTAGATGAACAAAATAAATTCTTGTCATTTTTTCCATTCAGAACAATTTGAATTGGATATGACATATTCCACAAGCATCACATGGCAGGCAAAACCATCAATTTGTGTTCTGATAAGATAGTTAAATCATTAATTTTCCGCTTTATTAATAGGCGCAATATTAGGTATTAAACATATATTACTTTATTTTAGGAATGAATTTGGAATTAAATTAATTCTAACGGTAAAATAATAATTTCTACTCCATGGTCATTGAAATAGGAATGGAAAGAATGCAAATACACCGGGAATAAAATAGATGTCAAGCCTAAAGTTCTATTTGCCTATGTAGAGTACACAAGCAAATATCAATATTTATTTGCTAGATAACATACGACTATTTACAAAAACTGCAAGCGACAATGCGAAATAATCACTTGATTGATGTAAGGACGTAGTTGGAATATGTGGGGATGATGTTGAACATTTTTTAAGAGTTTCAATTATTCTAAAATCTTACGATAGGGAATCCGTTGCTCACCTATAATGACTAAAAATACTCCTCCCCTGATCGATAATTGAGATTACGCCTTTTAATAAAAGTTTGAATGGCATATAATCATATACCATCGAATGGATTAAATTTTTTTAATTTTTAATTTCATGCCACTTTATAGCGGGTATGAATGACATACTGACTTGTGGGACTACATTGTCTCCATTGTCTTGTCCTCCTAGTTACTAAATGTTGTCCATTTCCATATGCAGTATTTCGGCGGCACTCGAATGGGTGTCTCAGGGTGCAGGAGAAGAAAGCGGAGATCTGCTCTCAACGAGAAAATTCCACTATGCGTGAAGTGTTGCAGGCATTAAGGAGTGAGAAAGCCAAATCCTACCCAACATTAGAAATCTATCTCGAACGATTAAAATCCATTCTTGAAAACTATGATTGCAAGTAAGCATCCTGCATTCAACATTATTTTAACGCAATAATTTTGTGCATTATCGTTATTTTATCATAAACTATGACAGAACAAATGATGGTCATATTTCAAGTATGGTGTTTCGAAGAGTCATTTAAGATTCAAATCCCTCATTTTATATTGGACTATAAAAGAATCAAAACACACTTGTTTAAAAAAAGTTACCACAAAAAATTTAATTGAAGACTTGAATAGAATCGAAATGATTGAATATAATTATTCAAAATGACAGGAAGCGAATAATTTTCCCGAAATACTAATATTCAGTCACAATTTCTCTGCACTGTAAAGTTTTGAAAACATTAATTAAATTGGATTTCGAATGCCAAAAAGGTTGCCACGATTAACAGCAACGGTAATAATTTTTTTTAATTCCTATGAAATTTTAAAGAATAGTGATTAAGCTTAATAGGACTCGGGGTAAATAATCCGACTTTGAGAGTCAAAATACGTAATTTTCTATTTTAATTTTCCTTTGATTTAACTGTATTCTTGTGTCATTAAGTTGATTTAGGGATTAAGAGTTTCACAACTCTTAGAAAATGTATTTTTGACTACAGCTTTTAATAGAAACTTTTAAAACATCAACAAACACTCATAATTTTTATTATTCTCATTTAATCTCGTTTGTTTTCCTCCTTAAGTGCCTGGCATAGAACAGCAAATTTGTTTATTTTTAGAAAAAGATGCAAAAGTGGAGTTTTTTGCGATGACATTTTGTCAGTCTGAAAAGGTTAATTATATTTTGATTTGAAAAAATGTTTTCTTTTACTTTATGTTTGCACATAAAAATGTGTGACGATGGTATCATTTTTCTTGTTAACTAACTTTTGTGGAGTCGATGTAGGAATAAAAGTTTGCACAAAACTCATGGGTTTTTAGCCAGAACAAAAGCAAATTACAAATTCTTAGTGTGTTTCTTGTAATCAGGTTGAAGTTTTGTATATAATCAAGGTGTCTAGCGTTATTAAATAAAAAATATTTAAGTGAAAGATAGTCATTTTTTGCTTTTGAAATTTATCCTCCTTTCATTAAAGATGTCTTAATGAAATATCTTCATCATTTTGCTATCTAATATTTCCAACAGTCAAAATTCATAGTTACAACACTTTTGTTTTTATTTAATTGCAAGGAACAATAAGCATCCCTTCACTTCTCAACATTAATAAATTCCAAAAAACTGATTGAAAAAATTGACTTTTTTAAATTTATGCATAGACCGTGCATTCCCATAGTCATTTTGGTTGTTACAAGGCAAACTAAGCCAGTCCAGATTTTGGTTCCTGGCAAATTTTCAACAGTTCCAGGTACTTCTCAATAAACTAATGTTCCATTCATTAAATTGCTTATTTAACTATTACCCGCAGTCTGCAAAAAATTAATTTTTTCGCACTTTTAAATGAAGAAGTTGTTAAATTGTTAAAACAGGACATAAAAATGATAATAGTAACAGTAAGAGCTTTCGAAGTACTGATCGTTTAGTCAGCTGGTAGTATTCATGGGTTAGATGATCGCGAAATTTATTTGCTGGCTGACCCTTGTTAAAGGCATTTATATTTTCTTTATAGTTTAATGATTAAACCGTTTCACTAAAGATGCGAATGATGGTCACAGCATCACTTATTCATAGATTTAAAACAATAATAAAGAAAAATATTTCTTGTCGCAATCAGAACAGAAAATATTATATCCTTATAGCATTTGGCTGCATAAATGAAAAATAAATGCTTTAATTTAGAGGTAAATATGAAAAAATAATACATTTTCTTTAATTTTATAAATCAACCCATGAACATAAATTAATCACTAAATTTCTAATGGAAAACTGCTGCAAGCATGTTATTGCCCTTTTAACAATTGCATTGCTTTCTTAATTTCCCACTATAAATATATTATAATTGGATACATTTTTTCAAGAATCACAATCACTCAAATTTCTCAACAATGAAGAAAATTAAAAATTGTGACTAATATTGGTTTAGATTTTATTCTTAAAGTATATGAAGTTATAAATGAATAATAAAAAATATGTCTAGCCTTTCAACTTTACATGAAAAGATTTGTATCGATTGTCATCAATGAAACAAACAACCTAAAGAACAACTTTTGTTCTAATGTAGGAGAAAAAATGGATATTGCTTTAAGGTTTAATGCCAGGATTAGAAGCTAAAGAGGTAATACTAGAGATTAAGCAACTTCTGCATCAGGACAAGTGGATATTTTATCGTAGTCAAGTGGAATTCTATTTAAGACCCATTTTACTGTTATGAAAACAGCCTGTTTGCTTTATCCAATGCAATGAATTTGGAAATGGATACCCACAAACACATTTGCAGATTATTCATACATTTTGAATGACACACGTGTAAATATTTATTCGTTTATTTATTTCAAATGGCAAACGTTGGGATTGTTATTATTAGCCCTTTAGCTGACTTCAGGCCCAACAGAGGGTAGCAATATCAAAGTGCAAAATATTCCAGAAGGGGGAGGGGACAGAACAGTGTTTCTAAGATGTAAAAGAAACATACACAAAGGTAGGGAAAGGCGAGATGAGTACTGCAGTGGTAGTCGAATATGACATAGAGTGGGGTGATGGTAGTTTGAAGTCAGAAGTCAACTGCCGGTTTGACGGACATTTTTGGCTTATGAGTATACGTCTCCCAGGTTGCACCACGTTGGGGTAAGCCTACCTCACACACTACATGTGTAAATATTAACAATGTTTTTTTAAAATAACAAAATGACATGATATAAGTGACGAGAATACTTAGAGGAGACTTAGTGGTGAAAGAGATTGAAACAAAACAGTAAAACGGAGGATAAGATTCGAATAAGGGTAGGAAGAATTAAGGACAAAACTATTTGAGTTGATCTCTAGAATGTGGAGACAAGGGAGTAGAGTCATGTCGAATTCCTCCCGATGTGCTAACACACAGTGTATTTGTAAGTGAAGAGTCGTCAGACAATTATAGTAATTAAAAGATGCTTTGTTTATCTGCCAAAAATGGGCGGAATAAGGAAAATGTTATCAAACCTTCATTTAAGTTTTCATAGGGGGTTTTGATGAATATACAGACGGATTTTATCATCTTGATAAGGTCTTACTGATTGAAAGATGTTCCGACATTTGTATAACTTTTTAAAATTTTTAATTCGATCCCTGGAAAGGGTCTATCCAATACAAATATAGATATTCTGATTAAATAATAGTTCCTATTTTGATTTCTTTTATAATTATTTCCCCTTTAATAAAGCGTCATCTTTAATAATTCTTGCTAGAAAGAATCATGCCTATTCCCTTTAACAATTTTGCTCAATCGGAATATAATCACCTTAGAAGGTTCGCAATGGTTAAATCAAATTTAAAAATATTCAAAATATGCCAAATTTTAGCTATTAAAATACAAAGCATATTATAATAGATCATTCTTTTTTGCCATTTATTCGACGCACCACGAAAGTATTGCTAATGCAATCAGTTTTAGTAAGATCTTTAATCTTGCTAATCAGCCTACCTGGAATATTGGACATAAATTAATGAATAATTGCATTTGCCATTTCTGGAAATCAATTTAAATTGTTCACTTTGAAAGAATTATAAAATAAAATATCTGATATGCTAGCATATTACCGACCATATGGAAATTTTGATATTTGCATTAGAGAGGGCCAAAATTTAATTAAGGGTAAAATACACGACTCTGATGAAACGTAATACTGCCTCTAAGCTACATTTATTAATATTAATCCGCAAATTTAATGAAGACAAATATTTATAGCTTCATTAACATTGGAAAGCTAGCGTGATTATGCTCCAATCCTTTACTATAGTAGCAAATTTTATGGCAATGATTTTGCGTTGGAAATTAAAGTATGCAAGATTCTTTTCAACAAACTGCGCAAAATATTTTAACTTTATTATTTGTTCTTTTAAATTCGACCTCATACTTAAATGCGCAAATGTTTCATTTTACCGGTATTCAAGGAAATATATGCTCAGGAGGATGCCTTCAAAAGTTATTTATTTATTTATATCAAATGACAGGCGTTTTGATAGTTATCATTATGCCCTGGAGCCGACTTCGGGGCTTCACGGAGAGGAGGAGGAGGAAAATTAAATTGACAAAAAGTCAAGGTGGGAGACAGAATAATGGTTCACAGAGAAAAAGAGACAGACAGACACAAAGGCATAAAAGAGGTAAGATGAGTACTGTGGAAGGGGTCGAATATGACAAATAGTTGGGCCATAGTAGTTTGAAGTCAGAAGTCAACTGCCGATCAATAGACTTTTTTGCCGTATAAGTATACGCTGCCCAGGGTGCATCACGTGGAGGTAAGTCTATTTCGAACCTCGCCTTCAAAAGTAACTTTCTTTAAAACCGAAAACACTGGGAAGAAAATGGTTCCTTAAGGGAAATAAGAAGGTAATGCCAACTGTCATCTCTTTGTGCGTCAGACACTATTCTAGCAAGTCTTAGTCCCGACTGTTGATTATTATACTACTTGCGTTTTTGTTGATGTTGATCAAAAGTTGAACTTGGTTAGTGCATGCGTTCATATCAACTTGGTGTATGGACTTACAAGTGTGGAGAAAGTGGTGTCATTGTATATGCTTCAATAATTTAGTTCCCTTACTTCAAAGTTAAAGTTCATAATTCTAGAACAATCCTATGAGATAACTTTTTTACCGAATAAAATTTACTTCTTCATACTAATAATTCCAAATTACTTCACCTGACATCAAATTGCTTGCAAACATTGAATAATAAGAGGTGTGAGATCGTAAAATGTAACTTTTAAAGCTGTAAAACTTTTTACAAACATTTAATTTGTCGATATTTCATTTTGTCATCAAGTTAGGGAGTGTTAATCCTTTAAATTCTAAATGTTGTAGCAAAAGATTCGCTTGAACTGCATTTCAATGATAATTGGTTTATACAATTTATAATCCAATGTACTTAAGGCAAAAAACG